AGGTCGACGATGACGTCATGCTGTATGAGGCCGACTGCCTGCCAACCCTGAGGCGCCACTGCCTGCTGGCAATACAGGTCGGCTTGCAGCCTGACCCGCCGGCTTTGATTTGTGCTGCACGCCCTGACGAGCGCCTTGCAGCGCGCCCCTCTCAGCCCAAAGAGGCTCCAAGCACTGCGCCGCTCTGCCTCTTGCACTGCGTCCCCTGTTCCCTGCCTCTGCCCTACGTCACTCCACTATGTTGGAAGCCTGCCACCCCAGCACAAACCAACGCACACCCGTACGTGCGCGCAGGTCACCCACTACCCCGACGATGATGTCACGCTCCTGGTGGCCACGATCGACCACGTGGTGGCCGACTACCAGGCCTTCATCGACTTCCTGTCAGCCTGGTGCAACGAGTGCAGCACAGCAACCAACACCACCACCACCACAACGGCTGCAGCTGGGCCCCAGGGCGTCAGCAGCACAAGTAGCCGCGCAAAGGGCGCGGCGGCGCCTCCGCTGCCGGTGTGGGACCGCGCGCTGTTGGTTGCCCTGTCGGAGGCCAGCGACGGCGGGGGCAGCGACGCCGGCAGCGCCGACGGTGGCTCGACGCGCGGCCGCTCCCCCTCCGCCGGCAGCCGCAGTGGCAGCGGCAGCCGCATCAGCGTCGACAGCGGCGGCAGCAGCGCCGCCAGCCGCTCCACCGTCGCCAGCCGCGCCAGCAGCGGCGGCGGCAGCCGCGCCAGCAAGGACAGCAGCTTCTGGGGCGGGGAGTCCGCGTGGCACTGCGACGTGCTCAGCAAACGCAACGGCATGGCGATGCTGACCGGGGGCCTGGTGGGCATGATGGCCTGCCAGACACGCACCTGGCTGCTGCCGCGGCCCGCGATCGCGGCGCTCAAGGCGCGCCTCGGCACGGCAATGGCGTGGGAGGGGAAGGGCGCGCCGACGGCCAACGACGTGCTGAGCGCGGTGCTGGCGGCGAGCGTGGCGTGGGTCACGCCCGGGAAGGTGGCGCGGCGCGGCGGCCTCAACGTGCACGTCGTCGTCAATGCGCGCGGGTGAGCACACGTACACGTGCTACTGCGGCGGCTCCGGCGGCCGGCAGCTTGCATGGCACGCGTCCGTGCCACAGGCAGTTGACAGGAGTCCAGTCGCCCGCATGCGCCGCTGCCTTGCCCGCGACGGACCAATGATGACTGGACGCGGCGTGATCCATCCTGGTCTGGCAAGCTGCCGTTGAGAAACCCGTCCTCAGTCAATGAAGCGATTGTCCGATTGAGCAACCGGCCCCTGGCGCTGCGACCCCTTGGCTGGCAAAGTACGTGTGCTCCTACATTACCCACCCGCTGACCCCCCGCCCTCCCGCGCCCCCACGCCTCGCCCGCAGGCGCTTCGGCCACGCCGCGGGCGCCGACTACTTTGGCAGCGACTCCCTACTGGTCCCGGTCTGGTGCCCCGCGGCGCTGCTGCCCGCGCCCGACGCGCCCTCCCCCGAGCCCAGCCCCGACCTCGTGGCTCACATCCACTCTGCCCTGCGCGAGGCGCTCAAGCCCGCCGGCGCGGTGCGGCGCCGCTTCGAGTGGATGGCGGCCGCGCAGGGCGCCGGCGTCGGCGCGCGCGTTCGCGCGTGCGAGGCGGCGGCGCTGCTGGCCGGGGACGTGTGCGTCGACAACGTCAGCAACTACCCGGTGTTTGATCTGAAGTTTGGGGGCGCCGCCGCGGCGACGGCCAACGCGATGCGCTTCATCACGTGCCCACGGCTGGCCTGGGTCACGGCCGCGGGGCCCAACCCCGACCGCGAGAAAGGTGGGCCGCCGCCGCCGCCGATGAGACGCGCGGCTGGGCACCCTGCGGCCCGGCGCCGCCTTTCCCCTCTTGCCAGCGAGGCCGCAGTGCAGCAGCTCATGCAGGGAGCGGGGACCCTCAGGCAGCGCGTGCTCTGTTGCCAGCCCAGCTGTTGCGGGGCGCAAGCCGTGGCAAGAGGCCGCTACTATAGCACAGCAATGCTTTGTGCTGTGAGAATCAGGTGCAGAAAGCCCCCCTCTCACCATGCCTCCACCCTGCCGCAACCATCTCCATGCACCGCTGCCCAGGCGGCCCCTCTGGCGACCTGCGCATTGCGCTGCCCCTCAAGCGCGCGCACTGGGCGCGCCTGGCCCCTTGGTGGACGGCCATGGGGCTGACCCAGGTCAAGGCGGGGGGCACCCTGGACGTGGCCATCTACCACCCGGCCAGCCTGCGCAACATTCTGTCGGAGGCCACGCGCACAGCAATCATGGGGCTGTGAGCTCATCCATCAGCCATTGGGCTGCAAGCACACATCCATCGACCATGGCGCTGCCATCACATCCAGCTATCAAGGGACTGTGAGCACGTTCAGCAACCACGGGCTGTGAGCACACACGACGACCACGAGGTTGTGAGCACATGCAGGGACGTTGGGCTGTCAACACATCCAGCTTTCAACGGGCTGCCAACACATCTAGAGGTCACAGGGCTGCCATCACATCCGGCAACCATGGGGCTGTGAGCACACATGACCATCACGAGGTTGTGAGCACAGCGCAGCGGTGATTAGGCTGCGGAGCGCCGCCACGCACGGCGCAGGCCTCTCCTGTGCCACCCTGGTGACGCCCCTCTCTATCTGACTCGAAGATCTAACCCAGGGCGCTGTGCCGCCCAGAACCGACGCACGTTTTCCACGGCTGGGCGGCAGCTGCACTTGCAGCCTGCTCGGTGCCCTGACGGAGCTTGATTCGCCAACGAATGCACTGCTTACCAATCGCCGCGTGTTTCGTCCAGGGCTTCTGCTTTTTT